AGTCGGCGCGGCTCAGGCGGCGGAGCGGGCGGCCGCGGGCGCCGCCGCCTCCTCCTCCATGGCTGTTTACCCGGCTGCATTGTGGGAGTTTGACCTCCGCCGCCGCCAACCGCCGCCTCAGCTTGCGCCGCCGCCGCCGCCGCCGCGCACGCCATGGGAGCCGTGACTGACGGTGAGGCCCGCTCGCTGCCGCTCCGGCCCAATCCCCGGGGCCGCGCGGCCTCCCCGGCCCCCGCCGCCGCCTCCCCCGAGACCCCTGGCCTCCCCTGCCGCTTTCGGGAGCCCCTTGGCCTCCCCGATCGGGCCCCTCGGAGACCCGGGCTTTCCCGGCCGCTTCCCCCGAGCCTTTGGGCCTCTCCTCGGAGCCCCGCGAACTCCGAGGCCCGCTCTCCCGAGGCCGCGCGGGGCGTGGGGAGGGTACGCTGGGAGGATCGTCGAGGGGCCGGGAGCACACGTGGGGGCCCGGGGAGGCCGGCAGCTATGCGCTGGCGGATGGTACCCGGAAGGGGTCCAGGCTGTTGGAGGATGTGGTGAGGGAGCACTGAGTGGGGGTGATGGGGCCCGAGGAGCGGCGAAGGGGAGGAAGGGGTGGAGGCCTTGCAGCCGGGGGTCCGGAGGACCTTTGGAGAGCTGAAAGGGAGTGGGAACTCCGGAGATGGGCCGAGAGTTTCGGGCCAAGTCGGAAAGAAGGGAGTCCCGGGACAATAGTACCAGGGGTGTCAGCGCACAGAGGGTGACACCTGGAGGAGTCCTCTGGACGGATTGGGAAGGTCCCCCAGACCATGGGGTGGATTGCACTGAGGCCTGAGAACTAGTCCTAGCTTGGGGGTAGCGAGAGGGAGCTGGGGACAGTATCTAAAAAGAGTAGATGTGGACGGGGTGTCCAGAGGACAGCCAGGGACTGTGCCTGGGGTATTAAGAGAAGCCAGTATAGGGATGGGGCCACCTAGGGTAGATCAGGACACTAGAAGATTCCTTTGTATGTCTTGGGGAGGGTGGTTTGTCTGCTGGAATGGAGTCGGGGGAGAGGCAGGGGCTGGGTTTCGGGAAAGTTGTGAGGACAGTTTAGGAGGTCCCTCCATGTAAGGAGGGGCCCAGGGGGTGGTCTACAGATTGAGAGCAGAAATAGAGTGACACCTTGGGGAAGGTGGACAAGCATGATGGGCAACTGGAGGGAGAATCTAAGAAGGTATCCAGTTAAGGAGTAAGGAAGTCCTTTGACATTTGGGAAGGGGGACCTAGGGGTGCAGGGTCTATTTGAAGAAAGAGTGGCCAGTAACCTTAGATGCCTACAGAGAGGCCATTTCTGAAGAGTGGGAGGTAGACAGAGTTTCCACCTTGAAGGACCAGGCCACTGGGGGGAGGAGTAATAGGCCCAAATTTGTGATCATGATGAGGAGTAATGAAGTGAAGTCTCTTCAAGGTCCAGTTAAAACTTCGCTTCATTCCAGTTTCATTTATTCAGTAGATATTTATCCCACCTGGGCTAGGCCTTGGGCTTAACAGCCCAGAACCAACAGGCAAGACCTTTTCCTCCTCTGAGGTCACAGTCTGGTGGGAAAAACACAGGAGATAATTAGTTTTCACGGTGGCAAACGTTACTACAGAGGAAGTTCAAGGTTCGGAACCGTAGAAGCATGTAACAAAGATTGCTTATCCATTCTCAGAGATCAGAAAGCCTCCCTGAAAAAGTTACTCTTAATCCCGTTTTTTGAAGGATAACTAGATGTAGTTGGATTGGTATGCCAGGTGGAGAACTACTTATGCAAAGGCCACAAAGCATTGGAAGAACTCAAAGATAGTAAGTATTGGCTAGAAGTTAGAAAGTTATGAGCCAGAAATTTTTGAGGGGAGTGGGAAACCATTAAAAGTTTTTTTAGCATTGGTGGGATGTTATCAGATTTGCATCAAAAACAACCACCACACTCTACTATGTGATGAGGGGAAGGGAAAGTGAGGAGTTAAGTGGCCTCTCTCCTTTCTAACATCTATATAGTATGTTAGTATGTCAAGCATGTTCTAATTATTATCCCCACTTTACAGACGACACTGGGACACAACGAGGTGAAGTAACTTGCCCCAGGTTGCACAGGTAGCAAGTTATAGAGCCTGAGCTCCACATCAAGCAATCTGGCTCAGAGTTCTTCCTCTTCCCCCTTGTGCATCCTGTCTCTCAGCTACAGCTGCCCTGGTCCTAGTGAGAGATGATAGAGGCTGGGACCAAGAGGGACTGCAGAGAAGTAGACAGGTGGGAGAGAAATTTATGAGGTCAAATGTCAGGAGAGCGAATGGATATGAGGGGAAGGGCCGAGGACTATCCCTGGTTTCTGATTGGAAACTTCTCTATTCATTGAAGTAGACAACGGCAGGGGAGAGAGAGGTTTTGTCAGAAGGGAAATGGAGAGGGAAGATTAGTTCTAGTAAATGCACTGATTGCAGTCAAATACTCCCTACATCCAAAGAGGCCATCAGAATCCTCACTCTGCCACTTAAAAGCAGTCTGACCTTGTGCAGGTTAATTAACCTCTTTGAGCCTTACTTTCATTCCTTGTAAATGGGGATAATAATACAGTCTACCTCATAGGCTGGTTTTGAGAATTAGATGCAGTAAAAGTTGTGAAGTGCTTTGCACTGCATCTGATACATAGTAATGTTCAGTAAATACTATTAAATGTAAGAGTTGGTTTACTTGCCTCTCCTCCACTTTCCTCTGATGAGGACTGTGCCTTCTCCCTCTCTTTTATCTGTGCAGGTTGCCACTCCCTGCCTTTTCTGCCTGGTGACCACCCATTTATTCTTCAGGACTCACATCAAATATTCTCTGCCCTTAACCAGTTGATCTTTCAGTAGGTTAACCTATTAACCATATTATCTTATGTATATTTCTGCTCTAGCCCTTAATACTTAATTTACTTATATGGCATATTCCAGAAAATACTTAAAGCAGCTCATTATAATGAGAAAACGTTAAAATAAATGGATGAGGAAACAAGGCCAAAAGAAGATCAAGACTAGTAAAAACAAAACAAAAAAAAAAGACTAGTAAAAACAAGAGGAAGTTAGAAGTGGGGTGATCCTTGTAATCAGGGGGTCAAATCTGTATGTTAATTAAAGGTGCAAGTGACTTGTTACCCTAGCTGTCCATACCAAGAGGCAGGACCTAGGCCATCCTGTGATCTAGTGTTCATGAGAGCAGGAAGGCAACATTAGATACCCAGGACAAGCAGTGGGGTTTTTTGTTTTTTTTTTTTAAATTTTTTTTTTTAATTTAAACACTAAAAAATAAGCTGCTCTTTAGGGTCCTCATAAACAAAAGCCAGTGTCATATCCTTAACCTCTTTTCAGCACTGAGGATCATAAACCTGTTTCTTAGCACATGCCTTACTAGGTCAAAGAAGGCTAAATCACAACTTAGAAAGGCATTCCAAAGCAGATAGACCATGTGGTTTAGGTGAAGAGCTCTGCTGGTCTGCCTTACTTCAGAGCAAGGTTTTTGGGCTTTTTTTGTTTTAAGAATTATCTAGACAATAGAGGAAAGGACAAGCCACAACTTCTTTAGGTAATCTCGGTAAACTTGATTTTCTTCAGCTGAGCTTTTGGTAAGACTCAAGCAGGAGTGAGTGATACATAATGTAAATACCTATTGCATGCCTCCCAAGCACAGTGCTGGTTATAACAATAGACTGTATAGAGGAAGACCCGACTCTTACTTGGGGGAGGGAAGCAACAGCATGCAATCAAGTAAGTAAGATAATTTCTGAGAAAGAGCATAATTTGGTTCTGAGAATGAACTAGATGGAATAAGAGAGTAATGGGGGAGGGCTGTGGAGAGTTAGGTTAAAATCATGTGCTCAGGTGTGACCTCTGATAAGTGATGTTTACGCTAAGACCTGAAGGGGTCCACTGCGTGAAGAGCCAAGGAAAGTATTCCAGATAGGCAACAACTAGTGGAAAGGCCTGAGGTGCAGACAAGCTCTGCGCCGTTTAAGGAAGATGGGGAAGGCCACTGGGGCTGGATCCAGGTGGACCAGGACGGGTGGGATGCAAAAGGAGGTCAGAGAAATAAACAGAGCCTTGCAAGCCATGGAAAGGAGATCAGGTTGTCTTCTGTGGGCACTCGGAAGTGATCGGAGGGTTTCAAGCAGAAGAGTTAGTGATACAATACATCTTTTGCATCATTCTGGGTTGCTGTGTAGAGAATGGATTCTAGGAAGGCGAGAATGGAAACAGGGAGGCCAACGAGAAGTACTCCAAGGTGGGCTTGGATTAGGATGATGACATGACAGTGGAGAGGACTGAGGAGTGGGTGGCCTCCATATTTCTATCATCCTCCTGAAAAGGTCTTGAAGAAGTTCCAATACCTGTCTCTGGAGACTAGAGGAGGGCTGATGTCCTCTTCCAAGTTTGAGTGCCTGGCAAGGTGCTGTGCCTTTGTGTAGTCCTTACATCTGGGTTTGCATATCCAATTGGACTAGGAGCCTTTGGAGGAGAACCTCTTTATTTCCTGTACAAGGACACATTGGTTAATTGGAGGAACTGCCCTCCTCAAAGGGAAGGAGAGAGACGCTATCTTGTTACCTATAGATACTGAACTATAAATATTATCACCAATACCGTTGCCTTTAGATGGACAAGTGGAAGTCCTGGGAAGTTAGTGGCTTACTGTCATATAGCTAGTTATTGGCAAAGCCACTCTCCTCTGTTGCCACCCCAGCATTCTGGCTAACTGGAAAACAGTTTAGATGTTGTTTTTGTTAATTTAAACTATGTTCACAGTTTGTATTTTGTATGTGTTAATTTAAAGGGTGTTAAACAGTGTTAGTACTCTGATAGAAAGTGTTTCAGAAGCACTTTTTTCAGTACAGAGAACATTAGATGTATATCTTGATATGCCAGAGCCACAGATGGGAGATGAGAAGGGGCGTGGGAGCAGGATGTGGCTGTACACTCCATTTCATAGAGCTTGTTGGTTTTGACAGTGTTTTTTTGTTGTTGTTTATTAAATTAGAAAGTGTCATGCATGGATAATATGCTTGTTAAAACTTGAAATAATGGTTTTTAACATGCCCATGAACAACATGACAGAATAATGGAATGGCACTATGGCTTTTCTAATAATGTAATTGTGTATATATTCCTCTGACTCCAGAGGTGACACTACTCATGTGTAAAAGGAAGACAATAATACATACTTTATAGGGTGTTTTCAAGGATGAAGCGTGATTAACATATGTAAAGCACTTCGAAGTTGAGTGACCATTTAATTGATTGTCCAAACGAGGACACTTTTCAGAGTGAAAGGAAACAAACAAGAGTTATGGTCATCAAATAAAGGAGTGTACAAACGCTAAGTGTCTGCTGCTGCCGCTATTCCAATCTCAATTGCTGATCGAAAGTTAATTAGACATTTGTGGCCAAGGAGTTTGCTTGGCTTTTTTTTTCACTAGTGCCAATGGATTTGACCACTTTTTGCCCTCGTCTGTGGTCCCAGCACAGGGGTTTCTGAAGCAGTTCAAATATAAAACAATACTTCTTTAGCCAAGATAAAAGGTATCTCAAAGCAAGATTGGAGTTTCAACCTTGACTTTATTAGGGCCATACTCTATAAACATTTAAATAAATCTAGAGAAAAACAAAGGCCTTCAACATTCATTTTTTTGCTTTTCTTTTTTTAATGTTTAATTTAATTTTGGTTTATGTAATTTACTTTGGTATCAGCAATTTATTTAGACTGGGCCTAAGTGTCTCCCGAGAGATCCATATTTACATGGAAGAATCAAACCATCTTATTTATTCTTTCCACCTGACTTCTTTGTGTCTTAACATTGTTGGCCTTAAAAGTTGTTTTAATGATTTTAAGCTCCTTGAAAGGAGGGGCTAGGTGTTATTTTACCAGGAGGAATCCAACACAATGGAATATATGTAATTCAGCTTAATAACCCATAAGCGATGGTGATCTAGTGATGACTCTTAAGAGGAATCTACACACACGTTGTTTTTACATGGCCTTAGTCTCTCCTCTAGTTAATAGGTCAAGTCAAGCCAGTTTTCTTTTTTCTTGTTAACACAGCATAGATTTATTAAAGAACACTGATGAGAATTTTTACTTCAAAAAAAGTGAAGAAAAATACCTCAAAATGACCAATAAGCTCTCTATCCAGATAACAACTGTTGATACTGTGAGGAAGACAAATAATACACGTTAGGAAATTCAAGAAGAAATGCACCAAGCGACAAGTGAAAACCTTCCCCTCTTCACCTTCCACTGCTAATCCCACTTCCCAGAGGTAATTAGTGTAAGGTGTTTTTTTGTGTACTCTTCCAGAATGGTTTTTAAATGCCATAAAAGGCAAAAAACACCTCGGGCGTCAAACTCCTGAGTTTGAGTCCCAGCTTTACTCCTTCAAGTAACTTTCAGTGCCTTCATTGGTAAATAGGGGTAATATCCACTTTATAGGGCTTTTGTGAGGATAACTTAGCATATTATAAGCATTATGTATATGTTAGTTGGTGTGCCGGTATGCATGTATAAAGTTTTACACAAACGTTTACGTGCTCTTTTGAACTATACTTCCATAATCAATGATACATCTTTGAGTTCTTTTGGAGCTTTTTCTACCTTATTTTGTGATATTCTGTTATATATATTTTTTAATTAAACCCCTTGTAAACATTTTTTTTTTATTTTCTGTTTTTTACTCTTACAAATAGTATGACTGGAGATATATGTATAGTTGTCTTTGTACAGTTGTGGGAATCATTTCTAGAAGACAGGTCAAGGGTATATGTATTCTTAATTAAAATACATATTGCCTCATTGGTTTCCTAGTAGCTAGCTGTTTTTTCCTGTGTAATCTTATCTCGTTATCCCTTCCTGTGGTTTTCAGTTTGGATCCAGAGTGTTTAGGAACACCAAGAAAAAGCCAGTGGTGTGCTTGTGTGCCTGCAGAATTTCTTGCTAAACTGCCTTCAGAAAGGAAATGCTTACCCTCACTGTTAGATCACAGAATTGCTATTTCTTGAAAGCAGGTGAGATCGGGAGCTGTGCGGTCTAGCAGATCGGCAGGCACGCTTGGCGGTAGCTTAGCCCTAGGAGGAAGTTACACAACAGGCTCTTATCACTGGTTGTCAAGCCTTGACATGTCCCTAAAGTAAGTGTTTTGGAACTTGGCCCACCATTATCTTCCAAATTGTTCTCTTTCCTTTTTTCAGTATTTGCTCCAAGAGGGTATGAAAACTTGTTTTGTAATCAAGGTTTCAATAGCCACTTTGAGGGAATAACAATTAGGGGTTTTGAAAGCCGTGTTAGTCTGGGTTTAGGAGAGATTGTCCTTTCCACACTAAAATGAGAAAATTCCTAAGATGTTTGTGTCATCCATCCAGAGGCTTGGAAATGGAGAGTTGGTTTAGTGACTGTAAAGCAGTCATTTCTTCCAGCCTGTTTATGGAAAATCGGGCATTAAAATCTAACCCTTTGAAAGGACTTCTTGACATATTTCTTCTAGGTAGAAAGTGGCATATAAGACAGGAAAGGGTCTAAAATACATCCCAGTTTTTTGAGTAAATATTTGCTTGTTGCCATGCATGTGTCATAACTGATTTGAAAATGATTTTTGAATGGCAGACATTTTGTAGATATAATTATGGCACACATACAACTGAATCCAGTAGGAAATCTTCCTACGAGCCTAAAATTAGGTGGAAAACCACCACTCTCAGAGCAGATGTTAGGTATTTTGGTTTCAAGGCTTTTCCCAGATGGTTTTGATCCTCGTGGTCAGTTAAGAAAGTAATTGGGACAACTGAGGAATGATGTTGATAACATCACTGAAATAGTTTCTAAGCCATCTTCACCATTTTTACAGGTGGGCCAAGGCCCGCCAGGATTAATGTTAGCATCCAGATTGCTTACAGAGAGTTTCAGCATGATAACAATTTATGAAGTCGATGTATATAGTAAACAGAACATGTTTAGGTGTGTTCAATCTAGAGCTAATTGAGGAGGTACCATTAAAAATAACAATGCTGGTATCATACACGCTGGGAACTGTCAGCAGCTGGCCATCTTTAAATTTAAAAAGAACAGAGGCTGTTTTCAAACTGGCAACTTACCCTTTGGTTTTACTTTGTTGCTGTTGGAGCTGTGCTCTGTACTTTATGTATGTTATTTCAATCATACTCATCCCCAGAGAATTTCCTAGGCAGCAACTGCCTATGCAGTTTAAGCTAGAAATATCGTGACCTTACAGTACAAAGCTTGAGACAAGCAAATTTGTGAGAAATCATAACTGGACAAAACTTTGTATGCCTAATATATCTACATGGGTATATAGATGTATCTATAGATGTATCTCCAACATACACTCACTTTCTAACATTAAATTGTGAATTAAATTTAGCATGAAGATAAGAATAACTTTTTTTTCCTTTTTTTCTTTCCTACAATGAACAGGCATCATGCTCCTCTGTACACTTTTATTTCCATAAAGTTTCACAGCAGTCCTATGAAGTGGATAGTTTTATTCCCATTTTTAGAGGTGAAGTTAAAAGTTGGTCACAAACACAAAGTAAACACTGTGGACTAACCAGAACGTTGGACCCAGGTTTTGACTTCTGGCCCAGGGTCTGGCTGTGAAGAAATGCTCTGTAGACAAAAGAGGGATAGGACTGACGTAGGAGAAAGATCCGTGAATGCCTGGACAGCGAATCCCCCCCCTCACCAGAACTCATCAGACTGCACTTCTCCTTGTGCTGTGTCGGCCAGTGTTGGCCCTGGCCCCTGCCTTTCGTAATTTGCCTTCCGGGACCTGCGATTCTAATCTCTGCTTTAATTCATGGCATTTTAGCTCCTACTGCCTATGCTTTGGTAGCCTCCTAGGTGCTTCACAGCTGCGTTCCATTTTGTACACTCTGCCCTCAACTTGATCCTCCTAGAAAGTCCAGCCATGAATCTTCAGCAACTCCAACTTGTTGCCTTCCAGGAAGGTCCAAGTCTACCAGGATGGCATTTACTAGTGTGGACTCCCATAATCTGACCTCTAACTGCCTTTATGAACTTGGGTCTCGATGATGATATCTGTCTTCACACACATCCAGCCTCCCTATTGTCCTAGAGTACTCACAGCCAGATCCAGCCTTGCATTCCACACCTCTGCCTTAGCTCACAGCTTTCTCCCTGCCTGCTGGGGGTGGGTGGGGATGGGGAGTAGGGAAACAACTTTAGCTTGCTTTCTTTGTTTCTAACACTTCTATTGAGGTATAATTGATACACAAAGAACTACGCGTATTGTGTACAATTTGATGTGTTTGGGCATATACAAACACCTATGATACCATCACCACAATTATAGCTTGCATTCTTTTTCAAACAACAGCTAACAAATTTTGAGTACCTATATGGTTCAAAAATCAAATAATATAAAAAAATATTTCCCCATCTTCCAGCCTGTCCTCCAGCTCCCCAACTGATACTGCCCCAATTCCTTGGTAACCCCTTTTATTAGCTTCTTGTATAGCATTCCAGGATATCTATGTGAATATAAACACGTGAATATATATTCTTATTTCCCCCCATTTTTATATGAAAAGAAGCATGCCATAAATATGATTCTTCACCTTACACTTTTAACAAATTGTATTAAGTGGTCTCTCTCTCTCCCAGTACACAGATGTTTCCTCATTCTTTGTTTTTTATCGCTTCTTAGTATTCCATCATATTCTTATGTTGAAATTTATCTAACCCCCTGTTGATGAACATGTCATATTGCATATAGGCAAGTATATCTAGGATTTTTGGGTCAAAGAGGCCATATTATTTGAAATTTCGATAGATACTGTTAAAATGCCTTTTGGCTTTTTTGACTGATGGTTTTCAAGTATCAAAAGAGCAGCTCAAAATCCTCTTTCCCTGTTCCCCCCAAGCTAAAGGAAGCTCTCCTCTTAATCTCCTGCTGTGTGTGTCACTCATTTAACAATCCCAGCTTCCTCTGTGTGTGTGTGTGTGTGTGTATTCATATGGGTGTTACTTCTCCAACTAGAGTGAAGGAGCTCAGGTCTTTACTTCATGTCCTCAGAACTTAGTCCGGTACCTACGGACACATCTGCTCATTGATCAAATATTTGTCTTTTGTACAAGAAGGGAAATCTCTGCTATGGACCTGAAAATAAGATGGTTGCTGCTAGTCCTTGTTAGTGTTTTATTGAGACAAACTCTTTGGAGGGCAGATGGTCCCAGGCAGGCACCACAAATCCAATTTAAAAATCTTTATTGAGCATCAGAAATGTAAAGACACAGTGTGAGAGGCTGGAGAGCAAACAGAATGAACAAGACATAGGGTGGGCCCTGACAAACCTTTTTCCCAAGTTTATTTGGCCTGTACAATGCTTTAAACATTTTTCAAAATTTTCTGTAATTATGGGCTTCCCTGGTGGCGCAGTGGTTGAGAATCCGCCTGCCAATGCAGGGGACGCGGGTTCGTGCCCCAGTCCGGGAAGATCCCACGTGCCGCGGAGCGGCTGGGACCGTGAGCCATGGCCGCTAAGCCTGCGCGTGTGCTCCGCAACGGGAGAGGCCACAACAGTGAGAGGCCCACGTATCGCAAAAAAAAAAAAAAAAAAAAAAATTCTGTAATTAGGATATTACATACATATATAAAAAGTGCTCAGATCTTAAGTATACAGCTGACAAGATCACAAAATGTATTTGAAACATTTTTAGTTAGTCACCAAACTTTACAAATCTCTTGAAGAGCCAGCTTTGGTAATAGCTTACCCTTTTAGGTACTTACTCCTCAATTTCCTTACTCCCTATTCCCTGAATTCATTTACATTTGAAATCCCTGGTCCTCAATAAAGTAGGGTGCCTGGGTATCTGAGAGGAAGATGGGGTTTCTTGGGGGCTTGGAAGATTAGAGATGAAGAGATCAAAAAGAAACTAAAGAGCCTCAATTGACCACTGGATTGCTCACCCACTGAATGTTTACTTTTAACAAAGTTAAAACATTTGTGATTTTAGAAAATCAATTTCATTTTCTGCATTTTAATCTCTTCAGGGACTGTGTTTTGTCCTTAGTCTCCTCAAATAACATTGTTGGTGGTTAAATACGGAAAGCATTAGTTTATATTTTAAAGTGTAAAATTAAAACACTTGATGAATCTGTAGCTTGAGCCATCTGTCAAAGCTGTGACTCTGAGAACAATACCTAATTCTAAAAATGTTTATCTGATGTCACAGAATAGATTTTAAAACTGGAGCCATCTGCCTTCCAAAGTTTATCTCTGTTGCACCTGCGCTCAGAAATACTTCTGCCTACACACAGGAACTATTGTTTAAAGATTTTTCTGTATTCATCCTGCAGGCTCTCCAGGAATTATTCACACTTTAAAAATTATTTTTTTTAGATTCACGCACATGGTAAGAAAACAAATCCTACAAAGTCATATAAAAATTAAATCCCTTCTCATCCTATATCTGTAATCCCTCTCACCAGAAACAGCCACTGTTACCAGTTTCTTGTGGATTCTTCCAAAGATATTCTCTGAATACACAAACATATATGTGACGGGCGCACATATACACACATGGCCTCCTCCTTTTCTACACAAATGGCAGCAAACTGTTTCTCTGCACCTGTTTTGTTTTCATTTTATTTAACATATCTAAGGAGATTTTTTTGATATCAGTATATACATCCACACTATTCTTTTGGCTGCATATTATTACATTTAATGAATGTTTCATAATTTACCCAGTCTCTTACTGGTGAATGTTTAGGTTTGCAATCTTTCTACCACAAGCAGCACTGTTAAGAATGTCCCTTTACATTTATCTTTGTGCATGGGTGCACATGTATCTATAGGATGAATTCCTAGAACTGGAATAGTGGGGTCAGAAAGGTATGTGCGTTTTGAATATTGTATTATTGGCCAGCTGCCCTGCAAAGAGTGTACCAGTTTGCATTCCATCAGTGTGCGTAAGTGCGATTTCTCAACACCTTTGCCATCACTGATTATCAGGTCTTTGATCTTTGCCAATATGATAGATTAAAGTGATACCTTATTGTGGTTTCAATTTGCGTTTCTCTTGTTATGATCCAGCACTATCTTGTCCAGGAAGAACACTAGGTCAGGGCTGCCAGGCAGACCCTTTGGGGCCCCACCTGTTACTCATCATTATCATCTGCACTGCTTTTCTATTCCTTTTTCTCTTTTTTCTTTTCCTTGGAACAAAAGTGAGACAGACTTATTAAAAAAAAAAAGTCCTCATGGGGAAAGAAACATTACAGATATAATAACTAAATTACACTTTTTGGGGGACTTCCCTGGTAGTGCAGTGGTTAAGAATCTGCCTGCCAATGCAGGGGACATGGGTTCAGAGCCCTGGACCGGGAAGATCCCACATGCCACCGAGCACCTAAGCCCGTGCGCAACAACTACTGAGCCCGCGCTCTATAGCCCGTGTGCCACAACTACTGAGCCCGTGTGCCATAAGTACTGAAGCCCGCACGCCTAGAGCCTGTGCTCCGCAGCAAGAGAAGCCACCGCAATGAGAAGCTCGCGCGCCGCAACCAAGAGTAGCCCACGCTTGCCTCAGCTAGAGAAAGCCCTTGTGCAGCAACGAAGACCCAACGCAGCCAAAAATGAATAAATAAAATAAATTTATTTTAAAAATTACACTTAAAAAAAAAAACAGGGCTTCCCTGGTGGCGCAGTGGTTGAGAGTCCTCCTGCCGATGGAGGGGACACGGGTTCGTGCCCCGGTCCGGGATGATCCCACGTGCTGCGGAGCGGCTGGGCCCGTGAGCCATGGCCGCTGAGCCTGCGCGTCCAGAGCCTGTGCTCCGCAACGGGAGAGGCCCCAACACTGAGAGGCCCGCGTACCGCAAAAAAAAAAAAAAAAAAAAAAAACCTATTCCTTTTTTCTCTGACCCATCTCATTCTCTTTTCCTCTTCTGCCACTACATCTTTTAAATCTTCTTTTCTCTGTTTTCCTTTTACCAGTACCTCACACTAGTCAGAGACATGAATGCTTTAGACTTCCTTCTGTCTGAACAGGATTTTAAAAAAAAAGTTCTCCGAGAATTATTGGCTTATTTCCCTGGTAGTACCCGAAAATTATTTCTACTCAACAATCCGGTAGTAGAATGCCAGTTCTGTGAGGGCAAGGCTTTTTTCTGCTATAACCCTAGCCCCTAAAACAGTGCCTGACACGAACACTTAATAACTTTCCATATATATATGATAGTAAAACCTAACAAAATTTAACAATTTTAAATGTACAGTGGCATTAAGTACATTTACATTTCAATAATTTTCTTTTGGATTAATGAATAAGTAATGGTATTGGTTATTTTCCCCGAAAGTTAACAAGAGCCAGACAGTCATTTTAATTCACATTGTTCTTTCCTCCAGACGAAGTCATACGGAAGCGTCTCCTAATTGATGGAGATGGTGCTGGAGATGATCGGAGAATTAATCTGCTAGTGAAAAGTTTCATTAAATGGTGCAACTCTGGATCCCAGGAAGAAGGGTATTTCATTTTGCTGTTGTTTCTATACTAATGTCCTGGTGTGATTTTTTTTTTTTAGACCATATATACAGTCCTGTTAATATTTCAGATTTTCACTCACCTTAAATGTTCAATGGAGTCAACTCTGTTAATCCAGAGTAGACTTTTCTGGCCTTCTCTTCAGAGGCCTGCTTTATGTTTATTAAAATGTGCAGAACGGGCTTCCCTGGTGGCGCAGTGGTTGAGAGTCCGCCTGCCGATGCAGGGGACACGGGTTCGTGCCCCAGTCCGGGAAGATCCCACATGCCACGGAGCGGCTAGGCCCGTGAGCCATGGCTGCTGAGCCTGTGCATCCGGAGCCTGTGCTCCGCAGCGGGAGAGGCCACAACCGTGAGAAGCCCGCGTACTGAAAAAAAAAAAAAAAAAAAAATGTGCAGAAGGCATAGTGGTAAGAAATGAAGGTGAAATTCAGACTCATTACTTTGGTCACCTTTAAAAGCAGATGAGTGTTTCGTAAGAAAATATCTAAATGAAATTTTCTTTTTTTAACATACTAATAAAAGTTGCTGCAAGCTTTTATATTTTTGATAATTTTTTTAACTTAAATTTTTTTTCATCATTTGATCTAGCTTTTCACATAAATAATTGTATAGAGTGAAAAAATTATGAGAACAGAATTGTGAAGATAAAAACCATCTTAAAACATTTTAAAAAGGATTTTAAACAAAATTCAACAAATAGTTGTTTGAATTAAGCTTATATTGCTAAGATCTACAGTCCCGTCTTTGCATTTGTAACTGATACAGTTTATATATTCAACTAAACCACATTTGGAAAAAGAAAACATAAGGGACAGATATTCTAATTTTTTTTTTAAATAAAGAAAATTATTCTCTCAGAACTTGTATAATTTACTTGGCAAATCTGTGCCTGTATTATAATACTTCAACTGGAAATCCACAAAAATCTTTTTTCTTTTTCTCTCTTTTTTTTGTTAGATACAGCCAGTACCAACGTATGCTGAGCACACTGTCCCAATGTGAATTTTCAATGGGCAAAACTTTGCTGGTATATGATATGAATCTCAGAGAAATGGAAAATTATGAAAAAATTTACAAAGAAATAGGTAAGGAAGCTTAATTGTTGTTTCTATCTGTAATTGTAATTTTTATGGTCTAAGGGAAATAATATCTGCTAACATTTTTCTTTGGTTAGTGGTAAAATAATAACAATAACAACATTAATTGAAAGAATGTTTTCTAAAATGATATGTAATACTTTGAGTTACAGCTATTTTTTAAATGCCAGCATCTATTTTATTAGCAATGAAACTTAATTTAAAAACATATTTTAAAATTGAAAATGGGTGGAGATTATACATGTTGTTATAACTATCTTTAAAAAAAATAACCTTTTATATAGAATGTAGCATTGCTGGAGCACATGAAAAAATTGCTGAGTGCAAAAAGCAAATTCTTCAAGCAAAACGAATACGAAAAAATCGCCAAGGTAAGGGTTTTGTGGGATTTAGTGTGCAAATACTTTCTTACTGACTAGTATTTTCATGCAGTTTTTAACATTGTGAGGGAAAACCTTCAGCTAGAATCAACCTGAATTATAAAAAAGAATTATGAGTCAAACTTAATTCTTTAAAACTATATTATTCTTTAAAATAGCAGAGAAGGAAGGTAATGCTGAAAAAAATTTTTGTTGTTGTTGGACTGTATTGATTAAACAAGTATTTCTTTTATTTGTTTTTTTTTTTTTTTACTGTACTCAGATCCCTTTGCTTAAATAGTGTTACGGTTAATGAGCAAAGGTAATTTATTTAGGGTTTTGTTTGTTGTTTTTTTGTTTGTTTAATGGAACTACTTTCAAAAAACAGAAAAGAATTTAAGCCCGTGAATTTTTTTTTTATATATAAATTTATATATGGCTGCATTGGGTCTGTGCTGCTGCGCCTGGGCTTCTCCTTGCGGTGGCTTCTCTTGTTGCAGAGCACAGGCTCTAGGCACACGGGGGTTGTGGTGCACCACGGCATGTGGGATCTTCCCGGACCAGGGCTCGAACCCGTGTCTTCTACATTGGCAGGCGGATTCGTAACCACTGTGCCACTATTAAGCACAATGGAAGCAAACATTTACAAGTTGCCTAAATTTCTAATAAGAGGATAAAGCTTAGCTTTGTTCTGATCTCTTGTTTTTATTTAGCGTCTGTCTTATTTTAGTCTATAACAACTATTTCAAAATAATTTTAATGGCAGGGGCATTGTTCCTCCTATAATGTAAATTGAAAGAAAGATAAAAAATATAATGTGTAGTCACAATTGTGACATACAAATGCAAAACTAGAAGGATATCAGGCTTCCCTCGTGGCGCAGTGGTTGAGAGTCCGCCAGCCGATGCAGGGGACACGGTTTGTGCCCTGGTCCAGGAAGATCCCACATGCCGCGGAGCGGCTAGGCCCGTGGGCCATGGCCTCTGAGCCTGCGCGTCTGGAGCCTGTGCTCCGCAACGGGAGAGGCCACAACAGTTGAGAGGCCCGCGTACCGCAAAAAAAAAAACTAGAAGGATATAGAAAATGTTAATGGTTATTTTGGAGTTGTGGGGGTTTTATGACTTAGGGTTCTTTTGTGTTTTTTTTTCTTTTTTTTACACTGTAATCCAAAAAATTTTTTATTAAAAATCACACTTATGGACTTCCCTGGTGGCGCAGTGGTTGAGAGTCCGCCTGCCAATGCAGAGGACACGGGTTCGTGCCCGGGTCTGGGAAGATCCCACGTGCCGCGGAGCGGCTGGGCCCATGAGCCATGGCCGCTGAGCCTGCGCGTCCGGAGCCTGTGCTCCGCAAAGGGAGAGGCCACAACAGTGAGAGGCTCGTGTACCGCAAAAAAAAAAAAAAAAATCACACTTATATCACACTTATATCGAATTAATACACTGATTGCCAAAACAATGAATTTTACTTTTTTTTTGCATTTTTTAAGTTTGTTTTTTCTTTAACATCTTTATTGGAGTATAATTGCTTTATAATGGTGTGTTAGTTTCTGCTTTATAACCCAGTGAATCAGCTATACATATACATATATCCCCATATCTCCTCCAACTTGCATCTGCCTCCCGCCCTCCCTATCCCACCCCTCTAGGTGGTCACAAAGCACCGAGCTGATCTCCCTGTGCTATGTGGCTGTTTCCCACTAGCTATGTATTTTACATTTGGTAGTGTATATATGTCCATGCCAGTCTCTCACTTCGTCCCAGCTTACCCTTCCCCCTCCCCGTGTCCTTGAATCCATTCTCTACGTCTGCCTCTTTATTCCTGTCCTGACCCTAGGTTTTTCAGAACCTTTTTTTTTTAGATTCCATATATATGTGCTAGCATACGGTATTTGTTTTTCTCTTTCTTACTTCACTCTGTATGACACACTCTAGGGCCATCCACCTCACTACACCTCACTACTACTCTAGGGCCATCCACCTCACTAGAAATAACTCAATTTTATTTCTTTTTATGGCTGAGTAATATTCCATATGTGCCACATCTTCTTTATCCATTCATCTGTCGATGGACACTTAGGTTGCTTCCATATCCTGGCTACTGTAAATAGAGCTGCAATGAACATTGTGGTACATGACTCTTTTTTTTTTTGGCTGTGTTGGGTCTTCGTTTCTGTGCGAGGGCTTTCTCTAGTTGCGGCAAGCGGGGGCCACTCTTCATTGCGGTGCGTGGGCCTCTCACTATCGTGGCCTCTCCTGCTGCAGAGCACAGGCTTCCAGACGCGCAGGCTCAGCAGCTGTGGCTCATGGGCCCAGTTGCTCCACGGCACATGGGATCTTCCCAGACCAGGGCTCGAACCCATGTCCCCTGCATTGGCAGGCAGATTTTCAACCACTGCGCCACCAGGGAAGCCCTGTGGTACATGACTCTTGAATTTTACTTTTTAATGAGCCAATTAAGATGATATTTAATTCCTAATTCCTTATTTTTATTTATTTATTTTTGCGGTATACGGGCCTCTCACTGTTGTGGCCTCTCCCGTTGTGGAGCACAGGCCCCGGACGCGCAGGCTCAGCGGCCATGGCTCACGGGCCCAGCCGCTCCACGGCATGTGGGATCTTCCCGGACCAGGGCACGAACCCATGTCCCCTGCATCGGCAGGCGGACTCTCAACCACTGTGCCACCAGGGAAGCTCCTAATTCCTTATTTTTAAAAGGTGTTTTTTGAATTCAGTCTAAAATGCATGTGGTCAGGTTGCAGTGGCCAATTTAGAGTAGGATATACCAACTTACTTAAGAATTAATGTCAATTTACAGTATTTTTATTGATTAAAGAGACTTTTAAATAAATGTGCCACATATCATTTCATAGGAAAACTTAACAGGAGATACATGACTTATCTTGGAGTTCTCAGTGGAGCAGAAACAAAGTTCCTGAACTATAAATCATTTCTAAGTTTATGAGATCTTTACCTTTGAAATGAGTGAGAAGTATAATTTTCTGTTGTCTAAGATCTGAAATTAATGGTAGGAGATAGATACATAGATATATACACCTTGCTGATCTTCTATTTGATGGGCAAATAGGGAATAAGATCCTCTTCAGAATCAGTTCACTTGATGATCAATGACTTAAGTTCACTTATGTTTATGCTAGCCTCTTGTATTCTGCCCAGGCATAGGTAAATGGAAAAACAGTGGAGGTAAAATCCTTGTTTGGAATACTTCTGAAGTCATGTATCCTTGAAATTATAATTGAATCAAGAGAAACTGACGATACTCTGTCCATCCTTCAGTGTTTCCACTTCTTTATGTACTAAGAAAGTGATTAGGAGAGCTCTGTGATGTTAGACATTTTGGTTTGATAACAAGGTTCAAAAAACCTTATTTTAGTAAACATTTTTATATCTTTCAGAATATGATGCATTGGCAAAAGTGATCCAGCGTCATCCAGACAGGCATGAGACATTAAAGTAAGTTCAGAGTTTTACTCTGAAAGGAACTAATCTTTATCCATAAATGTTTACATACTAGTCTATGCATTCCATTTTTGTGGGAGTACATCATCAAAAGGAAGAGCCCGATCTTCAATAAAAAGAATTAACTAGATAAACACTTTTTAAACACAGATCTCAAAAACAATTAGTGAAAGAAAAACAGAAGACATATACAATGAATTTTAAATTATTCCTAAGTTTCGGAAATACATACAGAATAATAACCATTTATAAAAGTTAGGGCCCCCCAAGTATTATATACTTATACTGTACGTTATTTAGAGATACAAATATATGTATAAAAAAGGATTAGAATGATATAGTGATTACCTGAATGGGGAGTAGAGGAGGAGAAAAAGGCCTGGTTCAGAGGACTAGGGGTAAAGTTCAAAGGGTATTTCAAGTTAACCTGCAATTTACCAAAAAAAAAAAAAAAAAAAAAAAAGACTTGAAATAATTATGACAAAATGTTAAAAGTTACCAACTCTTGGGGTTTGATATCCTATTATCAAGTTTTTCTATACTTTAAAAGTTATCTAAAATTTAATTTTAATGAAAATTAGTGCATATTTAGAAGAAATCACCCTTAGTTTTAAAAGTCTCATCATAATGGAGTATTATAACTCCTTATCTTTTATTTTTTAAATAAATACTATTTACTAACTAAAAAGTTAGATATTAATTATGAATTCTCTTCCCCCAATTAGCAAAATATAACACTATTTTATTTTTTTCAGGGAACTAGAGGCTCTGGGAAAAGAATTAGAGCATCTTTCACATATTAAAGAAAGTGTTGAAGATAAGGTATTTGCATGTGATATATGTTAGCCTTTGTGTTCTGTATAGGTTTATAGATCAATGTGTATTAATTTTTTTTTTCTTATTAACACAGCTAGAATTGAGAAGGAAACAGTTTCACGTTCTTCTTAGTACCATCCACGAACTTCAGCAAACACTGGAAAGTAAGTAACAAGAGTCACAAAATGAATGTCTATGAAGATTTTTAAGTGATCAGAGGCATGTCTTCTAAAATATACATTTTAAAGAGAGTGCACCTTCAGTTTCAGAACAGGAGTGTAGCTGGGTAACATTAGAAGGTACTCATGTTGTTCATCTTTCTGATTATATGCAGAAAAGCCTGAATATGTACGATTTGAATACCTGTCTAGTGGTTTGTAAATTAAGAGAAATTTAAGCATGATAGACTTGGAATTGTTCTTGGTTTACTGTAGTATATTGCTATAAAGTAACAATTCAGGACCCAGGCAGGCAATAAGTGAATGAAATAATCAATGCATAAACACATTTGCATTCTCAATGAACTAGGTGCTTTGGGGACCCGGGGACTTGCTCTTTGTATTGACTAAAGCCAATTTTTATGTAACCTGATCTTCTGATTGTTTGCAAAAAAGCCTAAGACCTAGATTTTTTTTTTTTTTAGCTGAAGTCTATCACATAAAATTTGCATTTTGATTCAACTAATAACAACAACCAAAACAAGACTTTTAAAACCAAACCCACTTGTGTGGGTCAATTACAGTCATAGGCTGCCATTTTGCCATTTTTGGTTTAAATATATTCGCTAATAAAGGATAAAAGTGTTTTCATGTATTCATTAAACATATAATTTAAGCAAATTTGATTAAAGTTTTATGTTTCTTTCTCAATTGCAGATGATGAAAAGCTCTCAGAGGTAGAAGAAGCTCAAGAAACAAGCATGGAAACTGATCCTAAACCATAGACCAGCTAATCACTCACCATTCCCAAGAATATTGAAGTAGCAACATGATCTTAGTGTGTTCAGAATTGGTTGTGCTCTTGAGACATATAAAGTTTTGGTAGTGAACTACATTGCTGTTAAATTTCAATTCACAGTTCATTCACATTTCTTCACACAAAGGGAGATGACTTCATTATATATTTGTTTTAATTGAAATGCCTTTTTTTTTTTTTTTTTTTTGCGGTACGTGGGCCTCTCACTGTTGTGGCCTCTCCCGTTGCGGAGCACAGGCTCCGGATGCGCAGGCCCAGCGGCCATGGCTCACAGGCCCAGCCGCTCCGCGGCATGTGGGATCTTCCTGGACTGGGGCACAAACCCGTGTCCCCTGCATCATCAGGCGGACTCTCAACCACTGCGCCACCAGGGAAGCCCTGAAATGCCTTTCTTATACTTAAAAGATAGGAAGCAACATGCAAAAATGTTTAATGAAATATTTTCAAGCCAGATATGTTAGTGCTCATTGGTATTCTAGGTAGTTTTTAACTGGTAACATTGATTTGCTCACAAAATAAGTGGAAGATAGTGAGAAGGTGGCATTTCTAGGATGTACCTGAGAAAATTAGTTGATTTCTGGAAATCGTTACCACTTTTGAAAATGAAGTCCATGAGTAGGCTCTCAGGAGGGCTGTGAACTTGTGAAATTATGTACAAAATGTTTGTGGTGTATGCTTATTGTGGGAGAGGTTCCATGATATTAAGAATCACTGATATCAGAGGTAATTACACGATGCAAAGTAAATCAATATGCAAAACTTTCTAGATCTCTGTCCTTAATACTTGAGCAATGTGGTTGTTAAGTGTTGTGTTGAAATGTTTTCTCTCTATCGTTTTGTTCTGTAGGAGTCATTTTCAAGAGTCTTGCAAAAAGGATTTCATGATCTTTTAAAAAAAATTAAGCCAGGTCTGAATCACGTACAATTGTCTTAAGTACTGAATTACATGGCTAATACTTGTTAGGATCTATCCTTATCCATTTATTTTAGTGCAGAAACATGGCATTTTGCATGAATCATACCTTAATAATGCTACATTTTTGTAATTTTGATACAAACTCGTATCTTTAAAAACGAAAGTTTAAAGTTAGCTCAATAGTAGACACAGTGAAAGTGTCAAAATACTTTTAAGTGCTTCTTCTAATTTCATCTGGCAAATTTCATGGGAGAAATTTCTTTGCAGAATTGCTATGCCCTGATAAATATTTCTATTTTCCATTATTAGTAAGAATTATGAAGCAAAAATTTGCTTATATTGACTCAGAATTAAAAATGAATTTTTCCCAAAGGATCTTTTTTAAGGACTGCTGGGCAGAATATTTTTACCACCCACCCCCCCCCCCCTTACCCCCCCCCCCGCCCCGCTGCCACCACTGATTAAGAGAAACTTATTCAGGATTATGTACCAAAAGATAAGAACCCCTATGAACATAACTTTTGCGCTGTCAGAAACAAAATCAGAAGCAGCACCAGGTACATGGGAAACACACGTTTTTCACTTTATACTTCCTCATGGTTCTCTTGGATATCCTCTGGAACTGCTTGGAAGACTGAAGGATTTCATCCCCTAGAAACTCACACTGTTGAAGCTCAGCGTGTCTTTGGGCCAATAGCTTCATGGATGTATCTGTCACTGCTTCTATGAGGTCATCCACCTATGACAGCCAGATACAGAGAAATGAAACCATGTGTTAGAAAGCCTTGTCCACACCCAAAGGTGGCCTGTTTTTCCTGAGAGATAAGTTCAGGAATTGTTGGACGTTTACAAGTCCCAAAGTATTAATCTAATTCAAGTCATAGCAAACAGAGCTTGAAAACATGCATTTACCACCCAGTGGTAAAGAGGATCTCATTTCTTCTCAAAAGAAGCCCATGTGTGTGCCTTCATTTTAACTGAATTCACTTAATATTTATTAGGCACACAGCACCATCCTCGGTGCCCTCAGCAATCCTGTAGCCACTCTTGAATGCCCCCCACTAACGTTCCTTCATGCTAATCATTAGTTTCATCCCACATCCGCGCTGTCAAGCAGGGCTGTGCATTCAGTTAAGCCTGGCCCTCTGATGCTTTTGAAACACCAAAGTAAAAGCCTTTGTCCACTACCTGCATTTGAAGCTTTCCTACTGTCAAATCTGATTTTCGGAGGATGTTTTCCGTGCTATGTTTCTTTTTTTTGAATGCTGGAAAGCGTGGTTTCTTTTTTGAGGAATACGGAACTATCATAAAAATGCAAAAATACATCAGATTAAGAAGTGCTAACATGATATCTGTGACGGTGCTTAAATGAACATTCTCACCTTTGGGACATTCTCTTATAAACTGGACATTCGCCACATAACAACGTCGAGTTGGAGGTCGTATTCATATTATTCTCCACCCCCCAGGTATCTCCTTTGTGCCCAGAGCTCGCTTTGAAGAGATCTATAGGGTGCAGAGAAATGAGATTGTCTGGTTCTAAGAGAAAATACAGTGTCAGGAAAAAAGCAGGTCATTTGTAAGGGGAAGAAGAAGAAATTGCTTCTGCAGCCGCTGAGCACAGAGTGTGGGGCTGTTGTAGACCAGTGCCCCAGAAAGCTCATTATCACTGGATCCAGTTGTTAATTTGGTCTCGTTTCTGCAGGTTTCCTTATTTTCATGACAGGCATGTCTCCAAACATAAAAAGAAAGCTCTGGGTTCTTTTCGCTGCATGCCTGATACTCTTCCCCTGGTCCCTGGCTTGCTGGTTACAAGTACCTGTGCTATTGGAAATCATTCCTAGGTCATGGCTCCTGGCTAATATGCCCTTTTTAGTCTTATTGGGTTCACTCTTCCTTCCCCTTGTGCTTAGTAATTAGCATCAGGACTATTGTGAGGGCTACACAAAGTAGGATGTGGGACCACATCTGGGTCTTGCCCTTTGCCTGAGTTTACAAATGAGTCTGTGGAACCTCCGCTCTGCCCTGCCAGCTCGCCCAGGCTCAAGTGTCACTGGCAGAATCTTCCCCAGTCCGTCCAGAGTATGACCCCTCTTTTTCCTCTCTCGTAAAACCAAGTGTTTGGGGGGCTTTTTTTTTTTCTATTAAGCACTTGGTAACTACTTAAGTTATTTCTGTGTTTGTTGAATACCACTATTAAAAAGTCAAATGCCTTGAAGGGTCAGGCAGGGTTTGCAAAACAGGCTCACTTGGGGCTGGTGTGAACTGGAGAGAACACGCCCTCCTGCAAAGGGGGCAGGCCTCTGCGCCTGCTGCAGTTGCCCCAGGAATTGTGGGCCCAGTGTTGCCAACTCCTCCTGTTTTCCAAAAGGAAGTTGAAAATCCAGATTTCTGTTTGAATTTTTCTAATTTTGAAATGTGGGCTATTAATTCAAATATACTTTTGAGAACATTCTGAGAGCTAACAGTACCATAGTTTAATGTCCATCTCCTCTATCAAACTATAAGTTCCACACAAACAGGACCATGACCTTGGATCACCTTTATAGCCTCCCCAAACTGCCCAGCACATAATAGGAGTACGATAAGTGCAAACTTAGCACAAAAGAGGTAAAATTCAAAACTAATATTGGTGCGCTCTGGCAGTGACGCTCTAGAGCAGCACTGTTCGACAGAACTTCCCACAAAAATGGAAATGTTCTTATCTGTGCTGTCCAGTACAACAGACACTGGCCATATATGTTTACTGAGCACTTGAAAGGTAGCTACTGCAGCGAAGGGAATGGACTTTAATTTTAATTAATGTAAGTAGTCACACGGGGCTATTGGCTACCATATTGGACAGTGCAGTTAGTACCTAGCATAGTAATTAGGACTAAGCACTCCAGAGCCAGGTCTTCTGCTGTTTGAAGCCTGGCTCTTCCAATTATCTGGGCCAATTACTTAACCTCTCGTTGCCACCCCTAAAATAATATCCTACTTACTGTAGTAACCTATCGCTCTCTACCTTATAGGGCTGTCGTTAAGGATTAACTGAGTTGGTATTTTTAAAGCACTGAGAACAGGGCCTGGAACACAGTCAGCTTTAAGTCAATGCTTATTATATCTAAAGTAATGATAGTATTTCAGGGTTCTATTAAAAAGATAGTCTGGGCAATTTAGGCTAAAGCTTGATAAGTACAGGTAAGTACAAGCTTTGGGTTGGAGAGTCCTGGATCACCTAGTGCTGTACTGTCTGTACTGTACATATGGCTATTTGTATTCTAGTTTCAATTACAATGACATAAACTTTAAAATTCAGCTCCTCAGTTGCACTGGCCACATTCCAAAGTCTGAAAAGGCCACACGTGCTAATGGCTACTATTTTGGACAAATGTACACTTGCATCCTCGCAGAAATTCTATTGGGTTGATCTAGAGAATTCCTCTCCACGTGTATGCATGATAGGCCAGGTGCTAATATACTAATGAGTCTTGATATCTGAACAGCTGACAAAGTCAATATAAAGCTGTAAACGCCACTGTTGCCCAGATTGTAGCAGAAGCTGGACAGTTTGAGCTCAGAACTAGAGGAATCAGAACTGGAAAGTCTACATTCTGTGCCCTAAATTCTGGGAGTGGAGACACACAAGTAGCAGCTTTAAATGCTTTATTATGAGGGACTTGCAGTGGCAGAGAACTTGGTTTTTACAACATCCCTAAACACTGACTTACTGATAAGTCTTTAGAGGTGAGTTTGTTTTAGCATTTTACCTTCTGCAGGCCTGAGGGAAGGGATGTCACAGATAACCGCTTGGTGGTTCTCCTGGCTCGGAGGAGTGTATTTCCTTGGGTTATCTCCTCTGTCTCTGCTTCTACAACATCAAGTTGTATAGTTGCTTGGAGGGAAGGGGAAGAAAAAAACAGACAATCTTGAAGGATCACAGTAATAGACACATGCTCCCTATTTGAAAGTCTCCTGAAAAGCCAGCATCACACGCTGTCTCAGTGGCTTTTTTCTTTGGGGTTAAAAATTAAAAATGGATTTGTTTTGCTGAAGCTTACACTTCCTCCTGAACATTTGCCTTTTCTTGTGGTCATGACCTCAGTGGTCACCGACCCATCTTAACAAGGTGGTTACCTGTCTTTGAGACTTCAGTTTTGACCTCTGTTGCCTTTCCCTGTAACTCTTGTGGAATTCGGAAAAGTAACCCTCTAATGTGTAAGACAATCCCTTGAGTATTTGCTGTTGACAAAAGCCAAGTTTAAATCTACTCTGCAGCAAAGTGGCACAAAGCTCAGCCATTCACATACCGTCTTAATAGTTTTTCCCACATTCCAGGAACCCCGTGAACCCTAGAGCCCTTAATATTTTTCTCTATCAATTCAATTCTTAACACAATAAACGTACTTATAAAGAAAACTTAAAACGCTATCATAAATCAAAAACCAATATCATAAATATAGGCACTGAGACTCGTATGGTAAAACCAAAACCATGTTATTGCCTGGAGAAGGCACTAAACTTGAGGTTACTCTCTTTTTTACTAAAACAGAAAAGGGCAGGAAATGAGGCTTTTTCCTTGCTGTAGTCAAAGGGATCGACAGGGTCATTTGGAAAAAGGGTTTTGCAGCTTGTTCCGTTTCAGCGTCTTCAAGCTGTGCGCAGCACCTGAAATCAACTCAGCTGCTTTAGGTCCATTGATAACCATATCTAGCAGCCGGGGTTCCTCATCTCAGTGACTGGTGGCTCCACCTTCAAAGCAGATGCTCAACCCAGGGACCCTTCCTTCTCCCCTGTCACTGTCCAGCTCACCCCCAAATCTTGCAACTTCTACCTATGAATATTTCTCCCTTGATCTCACCATCCCCACTGCCACGACTCGTCCAAGCTATTACCATCCCTTGCCTGAACGAATGTAAGAGCCTGTTTATTGTTCCTTCTGTATCTCTTCTTGCTCTCCTTCGATCCAGTCTCTACCCTGCAGGCTCAGCTACCTTTAAAAAATGCCAATCAGATTATATAAATCACCAGCTCGAAAATATTTGATGGTTTCTTATCACCCTTAGGAAAAGTTAAAATTTCTTAACATGGCTTACAGACACCCTTACCACCTTATTCACCAGCCTCTCCCTGGCTGGATTACTTTAATTTCTTAATTACGCCCAGTGGTCTCTTGATGTTGGAACCTGAAAGTGTTCTCCCCTCTTCCTGGGAAACTGTTCTCACCACTCTTTCCTTATCTAACTCTAGTTGTCCCTCAGATCTCATCTGAGTTGATCCTTCCACAGAGAGGCCTTTCCTGAGCCCCCTCCCCTAAATTAGCATCCGTGATGTCTACCCATAGTGCCTTCTGCTGCTACTTTGCATCAGAGGTAATTATCTGCATAATGCTGGAATGTCCCTCTGTGCTGTAACTCCAGGAGGGTAGGGACCATGTGTGTTCTATCTGCTACTCTATCCCTAATAGTGTGGCTGGCATATAATAATTACTTACTAAATTTTTGTTTAAAAAGTGTAATGAGGGTCAACAGGGATGAGCAACTGTCTTTTGCTCACAGCTGAGGGTCAGAATGTTTGAGTGGAAGCCTAAAGGATGGGCAAGTTTCTTGGGAAGATCTTAGTGCAGAGATTTGTTATTCCAACTAAGATGAGAAGAAGGCGATGCTTGGAAAGGGCAATCAGTCAGCTGGAAGTGTTTTCTGCTGGACTCTCCAACTCCAGCCCCATCAGTATATAAGCATGTCCTCTTTGCTATTTTTAACAGAAATAGGCAGGTCAATCCATACCAGGTAATTGCTAGATGCTTGGATCCTTGTAATGGTGACTGCTTTTTCCGGAAGAGAGAGTTTGTTTGAAAGGGCAATCAGTCAGCTGGAAGCCATCATTTTTGTTTTTTGTTTTTTTTTTTTTTTCTGCAAAAAGTATCCACTAGGCTTGCAGCCTTATAACCATGTGAAATTTGAAGGTATGTTTGAATTTCCTACATATACATAAGGACTTTATATGTTTCTGGATGCTGTGCTATAAAGGGTATTCGAAACCTACAAAGGATATTCATGGCAGTGAAGCTCTTCTGTATGATATTATAATGAGAGACACATTACATGGTAGGTTTTTCAAACCCACAGAAGTGTGCAGGGCGAAGAGTGAACCCTAATGTAAACTATGGACTATACTTAATAATAATATATTAATATTGGCTCATCAACTGTAACAAATGTACCATGCTAAGGCAAGATGTTAATAACAGAGGAAACTATGGGGGTAGGGTAAGTAGAGAGAGAGGTATATGGGAACAAATTTCTGTATTTTCTGCCCAATTTTCCAGTAAACCTAAAACTGCTCTAAAAAATAAGGTCTATTAATTTTAAAAAGCTACAGAGGAGAATGCAAATAGTAGTAGTATCATTAGTCATCACTCATGAGGGCCCCCCCAAAACAGCATCACCACGTTGCAAAAAAGACAAAGTTAACCGTTCAAATGCTGATTGATACAGCCACTGTGGAGAACAGTATGGAGATTCCTTAAAAAGCTACAAATAGAACTACCATATGACCCAGCAATCCCACTACTGGGCATATACCCTGAGAAAACCATAATTCAAAAAGAGTCATGTACCAAAATGTTCATTGCAGCTCTATTTACAATAGCCCAGAGATGGAAACAACCTAAGTGTCCATCATCGGATGAATGGATAAAGAAGATGTGGCACATATATACAATGGAATATTACTCAGCCATAAAAAGAGACGAAATTGAGCTATTTGTAATGAGGTGGATAGACCTAGAGTCTGTCATACAGAGTGAAGTGAGTCAGAAAGAGAAAGACAAATACCGTATGCTAACACATATATATGGAATTTAAGAAAAAAAAATGTCATGAAAAACCTAGGGGTGAAACAGGAATAAAGACACAGACTTACTAGAGAATGGACTTGAGGTTATGGGGAGGGGGAAGGGTAAACGGTGACAAAGCGATAAAGAGGCATGGACATATATACACTACCAAACGTAAGGTAGATAGCTAGTGGGAAGCAGCCGCATAGCACAGGGAGATCAGCTCGGTGCTTTGTGACCGCCTGGAGGGGTGGGATAGGGAGTGTGGGGGGGAGGGAGATGCAAGAGGGAAGAGATATGGGAACATATGTATATGTATAACTGATTCACTTTGTTATACAGCAGAAACTAACACAACATTGTAAAGCAATTATACTCCAATAAAGATGTAAAAAAAAAAAAAAAAAAAGAAGTAGCCATTTGAAAGTCTGCCTCACTCCTTTCTCCAGAAACAAAACAAAACAAAATCCCACTTTGGTTTGATTTTCTAATATATGTGTATGTGTATATGCATATACACATACATATGCCTATGTGTGCATCTGTATTTAAATGAAAAGTAGCTTTAGACTGATGAGAACGACTGATTAATTGGACTGGGAGGGACCTCAAAGATGATCTAATTCAGAGCTTTTCAAAATGCATGTACATATCAGTCACCTGGGGGTCTTTCTAAAATGCAGATTCTGACTCAGTAGACCTGGGTGGGGCTTGAGCTTCTGCATTTCAGAATATGGCTCCCAGGAGATGCCATACTTGGGGTAGCAAGAAAAGCCATCCTAATTTCATTTTTCCTCTTGGCCTTGACGCAACATAACCATATGTTGCCTTTGATTACCATTCTGTGAGAGCTTTCTCATTCTTGGTTTGGTAAACAACTTGGGCGATGGAAGCTCCTTGACAATTCTAGGAAGAAGGCTCTGCGTATTTGAAAGGAGGGTTTCCTTAGGGTTAGTGGAGCCCTCTCTGCTGACACTTGCTGGCCTTGCTTCTGTACTTGTGTGACAGCATCCTCCCCCCAAAAGTCTTCACTTTCTTGACCAAATCTCTTTTCTGATTTTGCTGGCTTTCATGAAATTCCATGTCACTCTCATTGGATGATTCCTCTTTGGGGACCAACACATTTTGTTTTACTAAGTTGGTAGACACAGCTCTATGCCATCTGAACAAAAGAAAAATAATTTGCATCAAGGAAATTGAAAAGTTAAAAAAAGGTATCATTGGGCTTCCCTGGTGGCACAGTGGTTAAGAGTCCGCCTGCAAATGCAGGGGACACGGGTTCGTGCCCCGGTCCGGGAAGATCCCACATGCCATGGAGCACCTGGGCCCGTGAGCCATGGCCACTGAGCCTGTGCATCCGGAGCCTGTGCTCCACAACGGGAGAGGCCACAACAGTGAGAGGCCCACTTACCACAAAAAAAAAAAAAAAAGGTATCATTTAAATCATTAAAATCCACTGCAAATGTGAAAAAATTATACAGTTGCAAAAAATAAATTTGAAGACCCAAATCACAGAAGAATAAAGCCAAAGCAACTACTTGGCGTTTTGTTGCCAAACTCTAGAAGTGCATTCTGGACACTATCTCATTTAATCCTCATAGCAGGTAGGTTATATTATTATCTTCATTTTACTAATGAGTAAACTGAGACATAGAGAGATTAACTTAATTGACCAAGCATAGAATGCAGATTTTAATCTTGGTTTGTGGTTGTTAAATTATATTACCTCATATTGGCAAATTGGAGATCTTATTTCAGTAATGGTTTGAGATAGTTTTTGCTGGATTTAGTGCTTCCCAGGCTACAGTGATGAGAGATGAAAGAGTCTGATAGGGTAGTCAATAAAGAATATAGTCTCCAAGGTCCCATAAACACTGCATTTACATAGAATACTCATTTAGAGAGAATAATTCCAAATGCATTATTTCCAAAATTCCAAATAGTCATATAGCATCTTCATCATTTTTGCATATTTTAGTAATTTTTGCGTATTTTAGTAATTTTGCATATTTTAGTAATTTTTGCATATTTTAGTAAATAGGTAACTCTTCTTAATA